CTGCCCCGTGCGGTCGCCACGAACACGGCGCGCCGAGAGAGGGGAGTTCGACTAGAAGCTAAGGGGGCTCATTCTTCTGCTGTTCCTGCTCGTGTTCCTCGATGATCAAGGCTCGGGAGTCGAGATGTCAGACCGCTCTGGCCCCTTTAATCTTCGGCCCCTGGGAGCCTCTGGGGGCCTCCAGGGAACTGAGACGACAAAGAGGAGCGAGAGTCGGAAGTGAGAGGAGAAGAAGGAGATTGTGCTGTCACTGCGGTTCTTCTCCTCCCTGCTATGTCCAAATCCGCCGACCCCTTGTGGGTCTCTAGGCGTGTGAGATAGTTCCCCCCCCCATAATCCCCCCCAGGGACCCCAAACCGGAGATTCTACCCCCCCCCCGGGCCGAGTCCGAGCGCATCACGGGGCTTTTTGGGGCCCACAAGGGGCTCAAGACGGGCCCAGGAGGCTCCAAGAGGCCTCCAAGACGGCCCACGAGGGCCCCGAGACGCCAAACGAGCGCTCCAAGACGCCCAAGATGGCCCCAAGACGAACCCGGAGGCCTCCAAGACGGCACAAGAGGCCTCCAAGAGCAGTCCTCAGAAGGCCCGACGAGCTGAAAATCGTCAAATTCCTATGGGGAAGCGTACATGTTGATCATATACGACTTGTCGGCCTCCACGGCGTTGACGATGGTCCAAGAGCACCCCAAGACCGCCCCAAGACGCCCCAACAGGCCCCCAAGAGGCGCTCAAGTCGGCCCAAGAGGGCGCCAAGACGAGCCAGGAGGCCTCCAAGACGGCCCAAGAGGCCTCCAAGAGCAGTCCTCAGAAGGCCCGACGAGCTGAAAATCGTCAAATTCCAATGGGGAAACGTACATTTTGATCATATACGACTTGTCGGCATCCACAGCGTTGACGATGGTCCAAGAGCACCCCAAGACCGCCCCAAGACGCCCCAAAAGGCCCCCAAGAGGCGCTCAAGTCGGCCCAAGAGGGCGCCAAGACGAGCCAGGAGGCCTCCAAGACGGCCCAAGAGGCCTCCAAGAGCAGTCCTCAGAAGGCCCGACGAGCTGAAAATCGTCAAATTCCAATGGGGAAACGTACATTTTGATCATATACGACTTGTCGGCATCCACAGCGTTGACGATGGTCCAAGAGCACCCCAAGACCGCCCCAAGACGCCCCAAAAGGCCCCCAAGAGGCGCTCAAGTCGGCCCAAGAGGGCGCCAAGACGGCCCAAGAAGCCCTCAAGACGGCCCAAGAGGGCCCCAGGACGGCCCCAAGAGGGGCCCAAGAGGAGGAGCCCGAACCGACAATCCGAGCCTTCCGCCCCAAGTCGGCCGCAGAAGGCTCCAAGAGGCCCCAAGAGGCCCCAAAGAGGCCCCCAAGAGGCCCCCAAGAGGCCCCCAAGAGGCCCCCAAGAGGCCCCCAAAAGGCCCCCAAAAGGTCCCAAAACGGACCCCCAAGAGGTTTCCAACCTGTTTCCAAGATTCCCGCGAGAAGCCCCCCAAGAGATCCCAGCGGTCACCGCACAAGCCTCACACCAACAACCCAAGCACGACGGCGGCACTGCGCTTGCACAATACATCAAACGAAAACGCGCTTCCGAGGACACGATTGCTCCAAGACGGCCCAGGATGGCTCCCAAACGGCCCAAGGTGGCTCCCAGACAGCTCAAGATAGTTCCAACATGGCCCAAGATGGCCTCAAGATGGCCTCAAAGGGCTTCAATATCGCCCACGAAGTCTCCAAGATGACCCTTAGGACATCTGCAAGAGGCGCACATTAGGCAGTTCATTACATGTCCATCGCGTTTTTGAGAATGTTTGCAATCGTTGCCTTTCCCGGCTTCACTGCATTCCAGAGGCCCCCGAGAGGCGTGCCCAGAGTTTCGTCTATGTGTCCCCGTCCTCCTCCCCCTCCCCTTCCTCATCCTCCACCTCCTCCTCCCCTATTCCTCCTCTTCTTCCCCCGCCTCATCCTCATCCTCCATGATTTTTCTCCCCCCATCCTCCGCCTTACTCCACATCCCTGTCTCCCCCTCCCCCCTCCCCTCCCCAGCACGCGCGCCCGACTGGGCATCATTTGCAAGTCTTGCATTTCAGGGTGCCATTTCTTGCATCGCGCGCGACATGGGCAGGGTTCACGGAGAACGCCGACTTCGGTAGTTGTCTCTTGCACGCGCCGCTGCACTGATACGACTGGCAACTGCGGGTTGTGAACCCGAGTTCCTGGCAGCCTCCGCACACCACTTTGGTTTCTTTCGCCCTTCGATGATTTGTTTCTTACGTATGCTTCAGGTGTTTCGTGTCCGAGAACGCTCCTCCGCACGCCGCGCACGTCAGCGGTTTCGCGTCCGCCTCGGCTTCCCGTTTGCGATTCGTTGCCTCCGCATTTCCCCGTCGCACCTCATTCTCTCGCTCAACCGCGCATTTCCGACAGAGCCTCTCCCCCGCAACATTGTGCTTCTTTTGAGCATCCGAAATTTCCGCCTGCTCTTCATACAGCTTCAGACACGTCTTGCTCGAACATCGCACTGTTCCGACGCTCTCGTTCCACTTCGCGTTCCCTTTCCGCGAATTCAGCTTGGTTTTGACATGGCTGCACTTCGCGCAGTACATTGTCCTAATCCTTTCCGTCTCCCCGTCGTCGGCCGCCGCATCCGCGTTCCGACCGCTGCCATGGCGTGCCGCGTCGTCACCCTCTGCTTTCGTTGCCCACCCTCTGCACGTTGTGCACCATGTTTCGTCCGCGCTTTTCATTTCCTCCGTGCACAATTTGCAGAACGCCGGCCTTTCCTTTCTCTGGAACTCGTACTTCGTGAACGCCTCTCAAGGCGACGAGGTCCCAAAGACGCCTCCCAAGAGGGCTTCGGGAGGCGACAACTGATGATGGTCCATTGTGTTTTTCTGTGTTTTTTGCTTTTTCGCTCTGTCGGCTTCCCGACGCTCCAAGATGGCCCCAAAGGCCCCGAAGACAGCCCAAAGACAGCCCAAGAGGCCTTCCAGACGGTCCCAAGACGGCCCAAGAGGGCCCCAAGACAGCCCAAGAGGTCCCCAAGACGGCCCAAGAGGACTCCAAGACGGCACCAAGAGGGGCCCCAAAGGGCAACCAAACTTTTGAACATCTAGTTGTCCGCCCCCGGGAGCCCCAGGGGGCCTGAAGAGTGCCCCAAGAAGCCGCCAGAAGCTCCCAAGAGGCTCCCAAGACGCCCCAAGGAACCCCCGGGAAGACCCCCTGAAGCCCCCCAGAGCTCCGAAACGGCCCCCCAGTGGCTTCAAAACTGCATTCCAGAGGGCCCCGAGAGGCGCGCCACGAGATCCCGATGCCCATGCAAAACGCCTCTACCCCATAACCCATACCACAGAGCCTCATCTCACTGTCCACCTCCTCCTCCTCCTCCTCCTCCGCCGCCTCCTCCTTGCTCCCCTCCTCCTATTCCTCCCCCGCTTCATTCTCGTCCTCCCCGCGTAGTATTACTTCTAGCAAGCCTATATGTGCTTATACCTTGATTTCAAAGACTACGGCTACGACGACCACTACTACTACTACTACTACTACTACTACTACTACTACTACTACTACTACTACTACTACTACTACTACTACTACTACTACGACTACTACTACTACTACTACTACTACTACTACTACTACTACTACTACTACTACTACTACTACTACGTACTACGTACTACGTACTACTACTACTACGTACTACGTACTACTACGTACTACTACTACTACTACCTACTACTACTACTACTACTACTACTACTACTACTACTACTACTACTACTACTACTACTACTACTACTAACTACTACTCTACTACTACTACTATTACTACTACTACTACTACTACTACTACTACTACTACTACTACTACTACTACTACTACTATTACTACTACTACTGCTACTGCTACTGCTACTGCTACTGCTACTACTACTACTACTACCACCACTACTACTACTACGACTACTACTACTGCTACTACTACTACTACGACTGCTACTACTACACCTACTACTACTATCACTACTACTACCACTGCTGCTACTACTACTACTACTACGAGTACTACTACTACTACTACTACTACTACTACTACTACGACTACTACTACTACTACTACTGGCGGTCTCGTGCACCACATCACCACGGCTCAACCACCTAGGGAAGAGCGCCCTTGTGGCTGCCTCATTGCCAGTATGCAACAGGCACCTCTTCTGGGTGAAATGGCGGGTCTGACGCGCTTGCAGCGCCAGGCGCTTGTCCGAGGGCAGCTGGCCCCAACGGCCCAAAGTGAAGCGCCAGCGGCGGTGCAGCAGCACACGGGGCGACCCCAGCACCGCCATCCAGGCCAACTAGCGCGAGAAGGCGCGAGAAGAGGCCAGGATGGCAAGCCAAGGGCGGGTCTGACGTGCATGCAGCGGCAGGCGCCTGGCCGAGGGCAGCTGGCCCCTACAGCCCAAAGCGAGGCGCCGGCGGCAGCATAGCAGCACACGGGGCGACCCCAGTACCGGCATCAAGGCCAACTAGCGCTAGAAGGCGCGAGAGGAGGCCAGGATGGCAGGCCAAAATGGCCAGGCGCCCGACGGCGACGCGGCAGTACACGGGGCGGCCCCAGCACCGCCAGCGAGGCCCGCGAGCGCAAGTGAGCGTGAGAGGAGGCCAAGATGGCAAGCCAATTGGCGGGCCAGAGTAGCTAGGCGCACGGGTGACCATGCGCCGAGCAGAGGCTAAAGCCACAAGCGCAGCCACGCGAGGGGGGCGCCACTGTGGGCACGCCGCACTACTGAGAGTGGCAAGCAAGACATCTTGGCATGGACTCACGTGGCCTGTCGAGGGCCTGGTACCTGCTGGGCTTCATCATTCAGGCAGGCTGGCCTGATCCCTGCGCAATGGCCGCAAAGACCTGCGACGGCAGCGCCTGCACTTCCCCACCGAGGTCGCCACTGCCACCCGCCTGCCCTGAGGGCCCAAAGATCTGGCGCTCGAGGTCTTCACCGAGGGCCA